CAAAAAAGGCCACAAACAAAGTCACTCTTATTGAAATGCATTTGTCAGGCTATTCGAATCAAACTACATGTGCAGCTGATTCTGACACGATGACTGTGTCCAAAGAGAATAATGACATTGATAATCTAAATGTTCAAGAGAATGGTTGGAGACAATGATTGCACGATGGTACTGATGAACTGGAAGAAAGTGAATGGGTTCCCTAATAATCCCGATTTCTGGAAGAATTTTAGTGAGAAGTCTTAGCTGAAGGTATGTACTATTTGAATTCTCTATCTCGTTCTTTGAGTTTACTACTCATGTATGTCTTGGATATCACTAAGCACAATCCCTATTCATCTTAGTTGCCAAGAATGTATCTTTTATTTAATGTTGCCTCATCTAGATCAGAGACCTGTTGCTGTAATTATAGTTATTTTGGAAACCTTTGCAATCACTAACACCAGATAAATCGTCAGCTTGGGGCTGTAAAAAAGAAAAAAGGAAAAGAAAATATAGTTTTAGTGTTGCCGCTTTTTCCTTATGAATTGGCGTACTCTTGTTGTTATGAGAAAGAGGGTTTGCTTTAGGTCTGTTTGATTTTTATGAACAGTAAACACTTGTACAACTAAGTTACTCACAGAACCCTCTTTCTTAACGAATTCAACATTTGCAATCATATAACAGCTTCTTTAATATATAAACCCTTTTATTTAAATCTGCAACATTTTGGAAAACTTATAGTATTCATGTACATCTGTTTTCTCCGCTGCTATAACTTCCATTGACAGTGGATGCATTCATATCCTTTCAGGTGTAACTGAGGAAGGAGAAAAAAAGGCGTGGGTGTCGGATTTGCAACCGGTGGATTTATGGGATAGGGGTTTGGTTAGATGGACAATAAAAAGGTGGGAAAGCAGAGGTGGCTCGACTGATTGGCAGATTAAACAAGAGTTCTAGCAAACTTCATCCTTCAGTGCCTACGGGTGGTGGTATAACTCTGTGAAATATTAAGAGAGACGGATACGAACCAGGTGTATGTCATGAATTATTTTTGCTGCCGCCATCGTTCCTTGAGGAACGGATGTGAACGTGATGATCAAGATGTTGCTTTTTAAATCCTCGAGCCCAATTCTCAATCACTACTCCGCAATCATCCACCTCTGTATCATATGGTATACTCTCGCCCAAGTTGATGGACTTCAATTTGTAGCAATGCCTGATACGAAGGCGCCTGAGCCTCGGGAAGCTATCAATCCCGCATATGAAGTTCTCGACATCCAAGTCCTCCATCAGCAAAAATGTTAGGCCTGAGAAGATCAAGTCGCTCAATAAGCACTCAGGGCCCTGGAAAGCATACTGTCGCAGTTTAAGCGCACTGATATTAGGCAGTTGGGCAATCACCTTTATGTACTCCCATGGAAACCGACACCCGCTCAGAGTTATCTTTTTAATGTATATGGGAAATGATGGAGTTACCAAAGAAGCAAAAGTGGTCCCAAGATCAGGTCCTACAACGACGCACTTGAAGGACTCGAACTTGGAATACTGATGTGAGAAATTACTAAAAAAGGCAAAGGTCTCAACCGTATCATGTGCTAGCAATGGCACGACCCGAACTCCTACTTTTTCCAACTTGGGCATCCTTGCAAGCACTCCATGCGTACAACTCCGGGGGCTCACGCCCGAAAGAGAGAGTAGGTTTTCGAGGAAAAAACAAGCCGTAGAAGGATGCGGGAGGTCCCATCCCATGCAGTGTAAGTGCCTCAGTTTACGCAAAGTCCAAATCTCCATAGGTAGATAACTATTAGCCACAGCACACGAGGATCTGACGATTTGATGCCGATGGACAATCAAGACTTGGAGGTCACAGAGTGCGGAAATAGCCGATGGGATCTCGCCATCGTAGGTGATGGCGAGGTACCTTAACCGAACGAGGCCGAGTACTTGGTCAGGGAACTCGTAGAAACGGACAGCTGGTGCATCCAACACATTGAGCAGCTTAAAGGGCAGAGGAGGAGTCCCGCACAGTACTGGGTACTGACTGCGTGGACCGTAACAGAGAAGAGAACATGCGGATGAAACTGATTCGAGCGCCGCACGAGCTTGCTTGAGTCCAAGTACGATGTTGTTATGAAAGCAAAGCCTCGGATGGCTGCCTGTGCCCTGCACATTGGCGTGCTCCAACTTTTTTATGACGTGGCAAAAACCTTCGTCCCGAGCCTCCTTGATGCAGAAACCCCGGTACATGACGTGGACCCTGCAGGTTTTGATTCCTTCGTCGGTGGAGCTGTAGTTGAGAACTTGAACGAGACTCCGGGCCACGAGCTTGATCAGATAAATCCTTCCCACCTCTTTCTGTAACATATGTCCTTGTGCGGCGATGAATCCCTCGGCAACCCACAAGTTGATGATTCTAGACAGGCGGATCTCGATTCCTTTCGGGATTAGGCCCACGTACAGAAAGCAGGGCTGCAGATGCCGAGGCAGCTGCTGGTAACTCAGAGACGCCTTACGCAAGAGGATCGGGTCGTTGAGCAGAAAATCACTCTCTTCAACCTCCTTCCATCTCTTGGCCGTCCTGTCGACCCCACAAAGGAGCTTCCCGACTTGGATGATTGCAAGTGGAAGGCCCTCACAGCTGCCGGAGATTCTCCTCCCGATACTTTCGAGTTCCCACGGGCAGTAGCTGCCGTAGGGAAACACCACTCTATGGAGCAGACGCCAGCTGTCGTCATCGTTAAGGAAAGGATCCCGAAGCACGTAGCCATTCGACATGACGACATCTCGAGCTATGAGCCCGTTTTGGGTCGTCACAATGATTCGGCTCCCTTTTATGTCGTTCGGGGCAGACCTCATCACTTGTTGCCAGGTCTTCAAATCCCCCAAGTTGTCGATCACGACTAGGTACTTGTTACCGGGCAAAATTTTGTTCAGCTGTTGCATGTCGAAGGGACTAGTGACGATCTTGACCAACAAAGTTTTGTTGTTGAGGGACCAAGCCATGTCGTCTAGCTTGTTTCCTTTCGGGGAGACGGTTACCCAGGCACGACACGTGAAGTGGGCCCGCACGTACGGGTCGTGGTAGATGCATCTAGCGAGGGCCGTCTTGCCTATGCCGGTCATTCCCGAGATCACACAGCCCCGAATAGGCTCGTCTCCGCCCAGAAGCTTGCCTTTGAGCGCCTTCAAAATGTGCGCCCGCCCGACCAGCTCGTCATCGTTCATGCGTCTGTGATGAAGATGAACCAGAGATCGACCGCTCGTCATCGTTTATTGAGGCTGTTCAACTGTCCTGGTTCCCTTTTGTGTGGTCACTTGTCACTGTTTTAAAGTCAGTAAAGTGGTTGCAGATTATGCAACTTGTATTAAGTTTATGTACAAGTTGTGTGCTTAATAATTCACTGATGTGGATGTTTGTATTATATAATAGCTGATGGTTGTCACCAAATGGACAGCAGGGGTGATTTAGCCATTTTGTTTTTAATAATTATGTACACTAAATCATATATTGAATCATTTGCATTTAAATTCAATCCGTTAAACTCATTTCCTATCCATCTTTGCAATTAAATTCAATTACCATTTCCGATCAATCTTTGCAATTAAATTCAACTACTACAAGCGGTGCTGGTTTAAAAATTTACACTTTTTTTTTTTTGTCAAAATTAGAAAAAAACTGTCTTTGTTTAAAATATTAAATAATTTTTTTTTTGAAAAAATGTATTATTATTTATATTTAAACGTACACCCGTCGCTTTTACACTACAATAATTTTTCTTTCTAACTCATATCATATGATGACTTAATAAATTTATTTAGCAGATAATTAATTTTATTACTTATATGAAATATATAATATTAGACGATTACATTTTATTTTTAAATTGTGCATATCGGATTGAATAAAGAAATAAATGCAATCAAATGATAGTAGTTTTTATTTGAAAAATATAAATTGGGCTCTCCAGCTCGTTTGTCCTCGATAACCTTTTGACAATTTCTGGCGTGAGCAACCTCAGCTGTACCGAGAATATTCTCAAAAGACTCCCCAACCTGAAGAAATTAGGCGTCCGGGTTGACCCAAGTCGCTGGAATGCGGTAGACGCCTTTTCTTTCCTCGGTGAATTGAGCTCCGTTTACAGAAAATTCAACTCGTTGAAATGTAGCGTCAAAGAGTGTAGTCTCGGCTCCCATGTTTTCCCTTGCTTCAATGACCCTTTCCCCTTGTTCATCAAAAAATTATCCCTCAGCGGGTGCGGATTCTCGTGGGACCACATCAGTCACGTGGCCGCGTTGCCTAGTCTCCAAGTGCTTAAACTGCGAATGAATGCCTTCCGGGGGGCGTTTGGAAAACACTACCTGGTGACGGGAAATTCGAGAAGATGAAGTTTCTGCTGCTGGAGGACTTGGATGTTGAGGAGTGAAGAGTTAACCAAGGGTGCTTCCCGAAGCTGACGCGTGTGGTCATCAGGCATTGCTACATGCTGCGTGAGGTTGACAATGAGTTATCTGAGATTCCCCAATTTGGTGAGCTGGAGGTGGAGGATTGCAGCCCTGATATTGAGGCCTGGGCTACAAGAGTTAGAGACGAGCGGTTACGTAGACTTGGTGTGGATCGGCTTCAACTCATGATCCATTCTTCGAGGAATGAAAGTGACAAACGCAAGTAATGAGAGTTATCACTAGAAAATTCTTGTTGCAAAAACACCTTGTAAGTAACTACTGTATACGAGAAGTCTCAATTTTGGCTGGCTTAATAATCAAAAGGATATGCAGAGACTTGTATTATTTCATTTAAGGTATTAAATGTACATTATAACAAACAACAAACAAATGATTTGGCTTGACAGCTGATCAAACCTTGTTTCATCAGCCCAAGTAGTAAAATCGTTAGTTTCTACAAATACTTAGGCAGTAGCCACCCATCAATCAAAGTGCAACACAAATTCAAATATATAAAAGTACAACACAAGCAAACTGTTGCTTTCCAAATACTCTAGCCCATTTGCACCTAATTTGATGAACTTCAATTTGTAGAAATGCCTTATGCTAAGGCGATTGAGCCTCTGGAAGCTAAGATGGAGCTGACAAAGAAGTGTCATGCTTAAAGCAAATTATTTCCCTCCAAGATATTATTCGTACTTTTATCAAACAAGTGGTGTGCATATTCAAACTATTATATTTGTAATTTTCTCCTCACAAATCCATTCATCTTATTCATTATACAACAAAATATCTCCAAGTCTACCCAAGAAAACATTAATCCACACACACCTGAATCCGTGTTGAAAAGTATTCACCGGCACCGCTCTCTGCTCCGGCCATCACAAAACTGAGATGCCACCTCCGTCAGTCCTAGCTGCCGACCGTCGCTTCGTATAGTAGCTCCGCCGCCACCCGCCCGACGTCGCCGGTTGCTGCCGCTCACGAGCGCTGTCCGCCATACTCGGCTTTTGGGTCTGTCGAGAAATCACGTAAAAAATGTAAGTGAAATGGGTTTGGGTCTGTCGATATGAGAATAACTGCTTTGCTTGCTTAAAAATTATGACATTATGTCACTATGAACGACGCCGTTTAGTTGCTGAATTGATTATNGCCATTCTGGTTACTCCACCAAACACAACGGGTCGGACTCAGATATCGCGGTAAGTTAGGGGTACAAAATTAAATTTCACAAAAAAGCGAGAAAGTTGAGAAAGTTTACCAAAACTGGCTCTCGGCTCCGCAAGTTCGAAGAGAGAGCTAAAAATTAGCAGAAAGCTCAGCTATGGCGGGCGACACAGAACAGGAAACTGAATTCGGCTTCCAATGGGACGAAAATTCTCAGCTTTACTACCATGCCAGGTTCTTTTTACCGCAATTTTCCAGAATTTTTTCACATTTTACACGCCTGAAATGTTGTTATTACCAGTGATTGTGAATTCCGATTGCTTGTCGATGATCGTACAAAGGATTCGGACTTTATTCATAACTGATGTTTTTGTGTATACACTTCCGTTTATTCATGTCCGAATCAAGAAATTGATTTTCCTTGATTTTTTTTTTTTTTTTTNTCTCTTATTTGCTATGTCGATGCAGTACTGGATTTTACCACGACCCACAAGCAGGTTGGTATTATAGCACCAGAGACCAGCTTTATTACAAATTCGAAGATGGAAAATATGTGCTTCATGAGTGTAATCAGGTATTAATTTTACCATAACTTCTTGTTTGAAGCGGTCTAACCATTAGGCAGGTCGACCTCTTCTACTTTATTAACAAAAATGCATACTAATGCTATGAAATCCCATACTTTCTTTAATGTTTTTTTTAGAGTATGACATTTTAGTTTGAAAGTATGCATATCTGTTGGAAAAAAGTGTGACAGGCCTAACCATTAGACCTATCTAATAGTGGTACTGTAGTTTTAATGTTGAGTTTTGTTCATAATGGAGATTTATTTGTAATTTCTCTATGGTAACCGTCTTAACCTCAGGCCCTGGATCAAACAGATATGGTTAATTGTAATTCTGGAGGAGAAAAACTTGAAGCTCAAATGGAAGGGATAGAAGCTTCTGCTGATCCTTGTCTAGGTGAACAAGTATATCTATCTGAATTGATCGAAGTCCTTGAGTAATTTTACTAGATTATACCGTGATTTTCAACTACTGATTTCTTGCATTTGTTAGAAACATGGTGCTTGTACTTGTATGTGACCGATGTCTTCTTTTTGTTAGCTTCAGGAGTATTTTGCTTCTAATACACATTTTTTATTTAGTTCAAATGACAAATATTAATCATTAATTTTCTTCTTCTTTTTCGTCTTTATTTCTTGTTTTATTTATTTGTTTATTCTGCTACTTAGCCTACTTTTGGATGCATTTAAGGAGTAAATACTGATACTTAACTGTTACATAACATCTGCATATAATTCTTGTTTCATTCCCAATTTGTGATATTTTGTTGCTTGTGGTTGTGTCTAGACAGACTTGTCGGCTTGTAATGCCACCGAACAATCAGATTATCCGCCGCCACCATCAGAATGGTATGCTTAGTCTCTGATCATTTTTGTTTTTTTTTTTTCTTTGATTTTATTGGTATTTTCATTTTATAAATATCTGGCATTTTGATGCAGGCTAGAAGACACTCTTATTGAGATGTATTTGTCAGGCCATTCGAATCAAACAACCTATGCAGCTGAGAATAATGACATTGATAATCCAAGTGTTCAAGAGAATGGTTGGTGAATTGTATTTTAATATTTACTTTTGTCAGTTTTCGTAATTGGAGGAAAATCATTGCAAGGAGTTATTATAATTCATTTATCTGCCAACATGCAGGAGATAATGATAGCGATGAACTGGAAGAAGGCGAATGGGTCCCTGATGACCCTGATTTCTGGAAGAATTTTAGTGAGAAAGTCTTAGCTGCAGGTATGTACTATTTCTTTTCAATAGACCACTTATAATCTGCAACTTATTTGGAAAACTCAGTATAAATCTTTATCTGTTTTCTCAGCTGCTATAATAACTTCCATTGACAGTGGATTCATTCGTTCGTATCTTTTCAGGTGTAACTGAGGAAGAAGAAAACTGGCGTGCCCAATATGGGCAAGTGAGTAGTAGATCAGACGAGGAGTGGGTTTCGGATTTGCAAACGGTGGATTTATGGGATTGGGGTTTGGTTAGAGGGACAAAAAAAGGCGGGAAAACAGAGGTGGCTCGACTTGTTGGCAGATTAAACAAGAGTTCTAGCAAACTTCATCCTTCAGTGCCTTCGGGTGGTGGTATATTGAAAAGTGCACCAGTGTGTGAAGTGTACTTTGATATGGTACGAGTGACTTCAGGTTTGTCTTTTGTCCCATGTGCCATTTGTAGAAAAAAAAATAGAAATTTGATCTATTTGGAGATTACTTGAGAAGTGCATGAAATTGCAGCTACTGCTTTTATGTGCACTCTGAAATATTATAGAGACTACACATTTGATTGTGTTTTGTTCGGTTTGAGGATATAAAAGTATAGCCATAGGATGATAGTGTTGATCTTGCTACTAAGCAAATGTATGCCCTTGAAAAGAATAATACAGATTTGCTAAGCCAATTTTTATGTGTACTATTTGGCGCTAAATTTATATTTATATTTTCCAAACTCTTTGACATACTCAAAATTTAAATTAAAGAAGGAAAAAAGGCACTCCATTAAGTCTATTTGTGTCCCTTCACACAGGTCGGATATACAGATTGAGGACTCCCAGCTTGAAATATTTGGCTTCTTTAACGGCTTATGAAGCTTCTAACCCAACTAAAGATTGGAGCTTTCCCCAATTATCCTTGAAAGATCATACACAGAAGTTATCCGATTCTCAAAACTTGGAAGGTCTTGCTGCTCAGAAGGATAAATCTTCGTCTTCAGTAAAGCTGGTCCAATCCAAGAAAGTGAGTAACGAAATAAGCTATAGCTGAATTTTTTACTTTCCAATGTTATTTCTTGTCCGTTCAGAGTGGAAAACAGAAAATATGATTATTAGGAAAAAAATTAAATTGGTGAAATTAAGTCCTGATAGTGTGGGATTCGGGGGATAGAAGTTTATGGTTTTCTACCAAGTGTTTTCTTGATTTAAGTGTTCAACCATCCAAAAAAAGAAAAGAAAAAAAAAACAAAACAAAAACAACATCTAAGAAAATGTAAATGAGAGTGTAACATTATGGTTTTTCTTGGCAAGAAAAAAAATAAAAAACTAAGAAAATGAGTTAATATTTTTTCCCTGAAAATTAATGAATTACATGTTGGGATAAAATAATGCTTCCTGTCTGAACTCAATGGTTTTGTTATTATTATGATTCCATATTCAGGATCATATATATCGAGATAGAGCTGCCGAGAGAAGAGCTCTGCATGGTGGATTTGGCGTGGGCCCTGGACAGAAGAACTCAACCGAAGCTTCTGATTCTGCCTCGTCGTATTCTGCTTCACAACGTGATGTGGCGGAAGCTGAGGCATTGAACTTCTCATTCGGGACAGGAAGTTACGCCAGGAAGGTTCTAGAAGGCATGGGATGGAAGGAGGTATACATTTTCAAGATGAACAATACATTTTTAAGAATTTGTTGCCAGTTTGGAGATTTGTGTGTCTGCGTTTCTCCTTGAGAATATCACGATTCCTTATGGTGTTTAGTTACAAAAATATACATCCTTGAAAGAACCCAACTAAAGTACTAAACCCCCTCTTACTACTAAAAGGAAAGGAAAAGAAAAAAAGCATCTTCTTAGGTGTTCGCACAATGGTTTCGTAATTTACACTATCAAAAAAAGAAAAATGTCATATTCCAACTGAAAATCGAATGGTAACATATTTCAATGAAAATTCCAACAAAAATATTCCATTGAAATGAGTTTTTCATTGGAATTTTAGTTTGAATTTGATGATTTTAACGGCCATTTTTCCAAGGGTTATTTCCAACGGAATAGTTTCGTTGGGATCCATTGAAAAATTGCAACGGGCATGATTGCATCGGAATAGCCGTTGAAATTCCATTGGAATATATTTCCGTTGGAATTTCATCATTTTTTTGTAGTGTTAGACTGTTGTACAATCTTCCATTGCTTATCCATTTGTGGATCCTCGTGGCCAAACATGGTACTAGGAATTAACGAATTGATGGTGTTCATGCAAAGTCGGTCAAAACCGGATTTTGCGGGTTGGTATATTTTCCGTATGATTTTGTAAACGTTTTTTTTTTTTTTTTTTTTTTTTTTTNCAAGGGGGAGGCTCTTGGCTTGAGCGTGAAGGGTTTGATTGAGCCTCTGCAGGCGACTGGAAACAAAGGAACTGCCGGTTTAGGCTTTGCTAATGGCCGCAGAAAGTAATTGTATTTAAAGGGTCAAATTTCACTTGTAGACATGAAAACTGCTCTGACATGAAAATATAGTAGTATTAGATTTTCATTAAGGGGATATTAGTATTGGTTGGAAATTCCAGTTACCTAATTTCACTTTCTGCAATTCCACAATTATTTCAAGTTTCCTTTTTCTTGCGTGAAGACTTTGCTTGTGCTGTTAGCTCAAGGTAATAAGTCGAACCTACTAATGTGGCTTGAAACTATCATACAATACACGGCTAATATATGATTGAAATATCAATTTTACCTCGAGTACTCAACTCTTTATGTTATGCTAATCTCATGCCATATAAAATTAATTGGCATATTACCCGTGTGGATATTTCAATTTGGATAGCTGATTTTTATTATTATTTTATATTTTTTGGCAACTGAACCTAAAAATATTTGGTTTTTGTAATTATTATCCCAGAATAAACTACAAAGCAAACAAATTTTATTATAGAGGAAAGGAGACATGGAGCCAGCCTTGATCAAGTGTAATAATTAAAGGTAGTAGAGACATTTTTACTCTAATTGCCAATTAAACAAAATAGTTTTTCCCCAAAGAACAAGAAAGGAAGAAAATAAAACAGAGCAGAAAGAAGAAATATGGAAAAATGAAAATGAAGTTTTAAAGGAAAAACAGTCCCACAACTATATTTCAGTTTGCACTTCAACGGGATTCAGTCCATTATCATCATTAGCATTCATATCAGTATCTAACTCATTCTGCTCTCTCCCATGGCATTCCCTCGAAGCTCGTTTTTCAATCTCTGGATTTCATCTTCCATTGCTTCTAGTTTTTCTAGCAAGATAACCACCTGACAAGTTTCAATCGTTTTCTCATTGTCACACAATCTAAATCGAAGTCCAAATACAAGGGTGGATTTAATTGTATGCAAGCCAAATCCCCCCCTTGGTATAAAATTATCGAGAAAACATAAGGATAGTTTGCAAATGGTATATTCAATTAGAAGTGCCAGAATCGAGAGAGAGAGAGAGAGAGAGAGAGAGAGAGAGAGGGATATACCAACTCATTTGATCTATCAACATCACCGGTCAGTTTCTCCATTTGCTTGCATATTCCTGAGGAAAACGATAGGAAAAAGTAGATAATTAGAAAAACTGATTGAAAAATGCTACTTGGTACATAATATTTTTTGACATAATATTGGCATTATATGATTTAAATCGCTAACAAGAACAATCTGAAAGAAACCCATATAGAATAGTACCTTCCAATTGGCTCCTGAGCTCAGTGTTTTGAGATTTTTGTGAAGCAAGTTTCATTGCCAGCTCATGCATCTACCGGAAAAAGGGAAAAACATATATATATCAATGACTAATTTATTGTTTTATACTACGATGTCCAATTTTCAAACGAAATACATAAGTGAAAACAGGCTGATGATATATTATAAAGAAAAAGTCCAGTGCCTGTTAAAGATCTGGTTTACCGAAAAATAAAAAGCAGATAACAAAAGATATGTATTGAACAGATATTGTACCTTTCCTTCATTGGCTTGATCACCAATTTCCTCATTCTCTTCCTGCAGCGTCCTGCATTTTGCCATTAACATCTTTCCCATCTTACTTTGTGGGGTAAAACTGACGGCAGCTATATTATCTTGCAGCTCTTTAACTTTCTTATCCTTCTCTTCCACCAAATTGTGGAAAATATTAATAAACCAGGCAAAAATCGGCTTATGGAGAGACCTTTTCAATTAATCTCTTGTAGGCAGTAAGTAAATTCAATAAACCAAGCACACGGCTACAATACACTTTATGTTCACAGCTTATCAAGAACATGCATCATTGGATTGGTAAAAGTAAAACATAATGCCGACAAGTAAAATTCATTCTGCAATAAAGTAACTTAAATCGTATTTAATAATAAAACAAATGGGTCACCTTTAATCTTGTGAACTCTTCATGGATAGCTGGATCTAGCAACTGTCTCCTCGCCTGTCAAGTTGATATCGTCACATTAAACAAATGCAAGAAAAAATAAATAAATAAAAGGTCAAAAATGGAAATGGAAGCAGATCAGTTTCGTCGAGATGATAAATTAGCAGAGGCGACGAGCGAATTTGACAATAAAATAATCTTTTTCTAAATATAAAAAGTAGAAAAAGGCGTAAAGGCTGACATAAGTTTCTACCTGCATTGATGGTGGCTTTAACTGAGTTCTCAAATCTCGAAGAGCAGACTGCAAGAAAGTTGGTAGAAGACGAAAGTAAATACAAGGAAAAAACACCACGAGCAATGAAAAGCTAGTTCTACATGAACTAAAAAGAAAATAAACTTTGTGCATAGCCAACAAACAGACACACAAACTAGAATTTAGTTCTCTCGAAAACAATGATAGAACTAGCCTTTAGCAATGCACCAGAAGCCACGAAAACCTGATTACAGATCCAAGATACATGTAATGAAAATAATGATTCACCAACTCAACACAGCCCCTAGACATATACGCGTTGTATATACAAACTTTTAGCAAAATTTCATTTCACCTTAATAATTGCCTTATCTTCTTCAGAACATTGTAAAACAGGTAACAGATCAAAGTGAAATGCATGCATGTTTGTGTTGATGATGCAATGGCACAATTATTCTGACCTTCAACTCAGCTATCTCCTACTCCCGTTTGGCAAATGTCACAATGAAAGCCGCTTCTTTTTTCTTTGATTTCTCAAGCTGATACCAGTAAATAAATAAACAGATATACGTATAATTAAAAAAAAAAAAAAAAACTGAATAGACAATGACAGATAAGATTTAAAGGTTCCAAAAGACATACTTGCTCACGGAGGGAATCCTCAGAAGACCTCAGAATCTGGAGATAGTTGACTACGAATTTTGGTTCTAACAAATTTCCAAACAAAAGGAATTATAAATGATCCAGAAAAGTGAGGTTAACTCCTATTCATGAAATTGGTAGGCAGAGAAAGGGGTAATACACACTCAAAACTAACCGGGGGTTGCGCCTTGGGGAATGAAGGATTCATTCTGGAAAGCAAAATGCCACTTCTGAATCTCAGACTTAGCATCTTCAAGTTTCATCTATAGAGAAAAAACCAAGATTGCCATAAAATAATTGATATCGCCATTGAACAAGCATGTGTAATTGGGAAATTTTATATTGACTACCGAGTTTCTTTTTTACTTAAACTGCGATTTCAGCTGAAAATTGAAGATGCAAATAGTGCATGACAACAGAGAAAAGGAAATGGAAAGCTGTAGACATAGAAATAAAATGTTAAGAACATTGATAAAACTGGAAATGCTACCTGGCATCTTGAGAGTTCATCTTGACAGTTCTTGAGACTACAAAAGGGAAAAGAAAAAGGAAACCAGCCAATAACTTTCAGAACATCAGTCGGTAAAATACTCAAAACTAGCTTGGAAATGATCTTTTCCTTGTTTACCATTTTTCTGGTTGGGAGACAAAAGGATGAGCAATTAGTGTGGATGAATATATTGAAGAATGTGTTTTGTGCATGGGAAGAAAAACAAAGATAGCTACAGACAAATAAACTCAATTCGGCTAGTTACATTTATAAGGACTTTGTACTAAACATATCTATCCATGAAAGAGAAAATGCCAAATTTAAGGGAGGATACCTCTCATGAAGAGATAAGATCATCCCAGTTGCCACTCCTGGTGCAGTCTCCTCTATTTTCTGGTTAACCTTGAATGTAAAAACAAACACGGTTAAACTTGAACCTTATCAGAACCATATTGCCAGCAGAAGGAAAAATTTAATGATTTATGGAAGCCCAAATATTCAGCATTGCACATGTTTAATTCAATCTGTTTCAACAATTTTGCCATCAGAGGGCCGCTCATGAACAATTTCAGGACATCAATCTGACAGTAAACTACAAAAGTAACTAACAAGAAGCTGTGAAAATTAAAAGCCATTAGCCAAGGATTATGGGCTCAATTCCTGTATTCCAATGACATATTTCAAGTGGAAAACTAATTCAGCTCTAACTGGACTGCCTTAAAGTTATTGATATCCTTTCAGAGGAATCCTTTAAAATTTGGTGAACAAGTTAAGAGGTCAGTCAAAAATTTGAGTTCCGCTCCTGAATTCACAAGCAGTTCTGATATTTCATTTTCATTTGCTCAACATTCAAACACAACCCCAGCCGAAAGAATCAAACTTTAGAACATCGGTATAAATAGTCTTTACTACAAATTATAACTTACAATGAAGAAAACAGACACCCACAGAAACACCAGCAGAACAAATAAAACTGAGAAAAATAATGATATTTTTACACTTCCAAAGCAGGAGCAGAAGCAAAAGAAACCTTCTTTGACCCAAAGATATCATCTTCATCATCATCAAGGTCCGCGCGAAGCTTCTCTTATTGCCTAGTAACCAAAATCACATTCTCATAAACAACAAATAGCATAAAACAAAGATAGCTACAGACAATATTTAACTCAAATAAAATAATTAGTTTGGAGAACCTGAACGCCTTGAAGCACTTCCTCCTGCAAAATCACCTCCAAAATCATCTTCCTGCCAAAGTTTCAAGCCCAAAAAGAAGAACAGAACAAATTAAACTAGAAATGAAGATAACGAACAAAATACATATAATTCAATGGAAGTGCAACCAAAATAGCGCGCACTAGAGTAGAGGGAACTCACGACATCAAGGTGGTCGTCCGACGCCATTGAAATGCGATGTCGAATTGGGGACTAAATTCTGAAACCCTAACTCGCCGAAATCGAGGAGGTGCAGGATTGGGAGCGTGGGGCGAGTTGCACGGGAACAACGCCGAGTTCAGGTTCCGAATTAAGGGTGCGTTTGGCAGATATGTTTCTGAACCCTTTGGATTCTCCAAACCACTAATTGAGACAGGATAAGACTAATTGTGTTAAACGAAATGAGTTACTCCATTTTTTAGCAGAATTCTATTCCGCTTGTTAATAGTCGAACTCGAACTTATTCAAAACTAATTTAGTTAACGAGTTAATTGTTTGGCTCGTTACAATTTGACGATTTGTCAATATTTATAAATCGACTCGTTGCATTAATGAGTTGAGGTCAACCTGATTTTCATAAAAACTCGAGCTCCAGCCATTTACATCTCTATGCACATAAGACCAATGTTACCATATGAGGCTATACTGGCCACGGTTCGGCCCAAACCATCGATCTAGTCCGAATCGCTGACCACGAGCCTTGAACCGGTCTATGGATTTATTCGGGGCGGTTCAGATTTATGTTGTTTAAAAAATTGAATTGTCGGTTCTGGTTTTTGATTTGGTGGCGAAATTCAATTTAAAAAATGGAATTTTCTTTTATTATTTTTATTCTTTGTTATTTTTTTATTTCCCAATTTAGAGCCGAACTGGTTTGAACTGTTGGTGCGGTCCATTGATCTTCCCCATAGTCTTTATGAGGCGCGCTCCTATCACGTGCTAAAATTGTTAGTTCTTAATTTCTATCTATTTTTTATTTTTTTTAATGGAACGATCAATTTTATAAGCCTCGAAAGGGAGATTTGAATTGTGAGAGATTTTATAATGAAGACATGAAGGGCTAACTAGTGCCTAAAAAAACACCAAGGAAGTAGAATGAAGAGGAATGCTTACGAAGCACCACAGACAAACAAAAACACTGGAAGTTGGTCTAGTCAATCAGCAGTGACAAATCTTAATTTCTATCATCTAAACTCAAATCTTAATTTCTATAAGGGTTAATTGCAGTAAAAGTTTTAACTTTTTGCTTAATTGCAAATAAAACTTATATTTTTTAATTTGGCTAAAAAATACCCAACCTTTAATAAGTATTGCAAATTTGTCTCGAAAAAGCTATTCCGGTCAATTCTGCTGACATGGCTGATCGGAAAAATGACGTTTTACACTTAGGACTTGTAGCGCCCCGTTCATTTATGGAATATTTGGGATTTTTAATTAAAATTATTATTATTATTTTTATTATTGTCATTATTATTATTATTTTATTATTATTATTACTATTTTATTTAAATGTCTAATATTGTCAATTAAATGCTTAAATGTATATTATTATTTAATTAATTAATGTGTGTAATATATATATAAATATTATGTCGATTTTATTTTAAATTGTCGATCCTTGGAACCAATCCGTTAAATTTTATTTATTGAGGAAGCGGGATTATATTTTCAGTTTTATCGAGCCCGAGAACCCGCGAGCCCGTCTAGCGAATTGAGAGCCGACCCAGCTTGGCCCGAGCCCAGTTTTCTTATTTTTGAACGTGTGAGTGTGTGTCTAGAGATGCAAGACACAAAAACCCTAGCGTATGTATTTACCAGATACTAGTTTTGTATCCCGTGCAAATGCACGGAAAATAATTTTAAAATATATCAAGTAAGTTTAAATATACATAATCATTTTTATGTAAAACAATTATATAAAATAGATCTATGCACTCCTTCTATTTTTTCTTTCTTTTTTTACTTCAAAAATCTTGATTAATTACTTTTGCTTTAGTGCCCTCGTTATCAAATTATGATTGTATTTGGATTAAAAATTATATTTGAATTGTTAAAAAAAATTGAATAAATTGACAGTGGTATATAAAGAAATGAACTTTATAATTGTAAATAATAAAATTGAATCTTGATATTTGTTTGGACTTTGAATTTAATTTTATTTTTTTATTTGAGTAATATATTGGGGTATCTGTAATATATTGTTGAGTTATAAACCTTGTTTCTTCTATAAATTGACCTATGAAAAATTAAACTTCAATACCCTAAAGGTACCTCTAGTAGTAACAGTGTTTATTTTGTACATGTTTTTATTGTTGAAAAGAAGGGAATTGATTTGCGGTATATGTGACAAATAAACGAAACCAAAAGATTGGTAGTTGGTAATGTGTTTTTAATTTTGTCTTCAATATTCTCATGAAAAAAGAAAATGATATGTTTTAAACACTATTTTCGAAACTATTTGTGTGTTGTTTACTAACATCACGTAGCACTGATGAATTTCTTTAGTTTGTAATTAACTTTGATTTTATTTGCAACGAATAAAAAATGAGCCATGTAGGAAAAAAACCAACGATAAATAACATTTGAAGACTTCCTCATTTCATATTCCAATACATATAAGAAATTAAGTTCATAGTTTTTTTTTGTTTTTCTTTTTCATATCAACACGGATAAATTTCTATTAACTACTACATTTAAATATGGGAATGGAACTTCTCCGTGCATATAATCATTTTAGGCATTTCCAACATGATTTGTACCAATGGTTACCAATAAAAGATTCAAAATAATAGCACATGTAGCTCCCAACCTATATTAATAAAACTATGTTCGTTCATAAAAATAATCAAACTTCGTTTGTTAATAAAAGTAATTAACATTTTAATCCACGTGTTGGAATAAATCAAATTAGGGAAAAAAAACTATCGCTTGAACACAAAGACAAAGGTGACATATTATAGTTCTTACATGTAAACCATTATTTCCAGCATCTTCACATTATTTAATACAGATAATCAATTCCGACTTCATGACAACCGAACTATCATTTTGCACAACAATGGAATCCCAAATTGCACCTTAATTCAAAATTTGAAACATTATGATAAAAAATTGTCAAGTGCATTAAAACTATATGAAAATTGAAAACTCGTATCATGGGGTTGTGGAGAATAATTTTTCAATCTAAGATGTTTGAACACTCTTCATATCCATATGCTTAAAACAACTTCGTATATTGTATTCTTGTAGCATCAAACCACATTGATCACTTTGTCGTGACTTCTTTCAGAAGTGTGAATTCTATGATAGGAACCTGGAAAAATAAATATATTTTGTACATATGTGGGTGAAATTGTAAAAAATAAAGTGTATAATTTAATTTGTTGTAACTACATTCAAGGATTTTAAATGTGAAATTGATAATTTATACGAATGGTTAATGTGAAAGTGGTAACCGCGTAGTTAACCACTAAAACATCATCTTCTCATCCACTTAGAAAGAAAAATAAAATAAATTAATAATAATCCATTACCTCATTATTCAATTGATTTGTAATTAACACACACATATATATTGCAATTGGTTAATAATCATAAGTTAGCCAGCAGGTAAGGCCACAAATGAATTTTGTCATCAAGTATAATTATGTATAAGTAACTGTATAAATTAATTAATATTTTTTATTTAAAAGTATAATTCCATGTAAATAATTATAATTACGTTTGATGGAGACATGATATTATCCATTTAAAATAATTCAACATCAATATTAATAGTTAAAATAAATAACTACAGGATTTGGTATTATCATATTGTGAAAGTGGTAAATATATACTCAACCCATCAGTACAACCTACAAATAACTATAAGTTTTGGCGTTATCATATTGAACTCCATTCAACCGAACTTCAATGCCAAATAGCTCTCTTCCAGACTAAATGTTTATAATTTTATTAATTCAATTTTATGCTTTATCCGTTACTATTAAAATTACATTCTATTAATTGCTATTTCATGTTTGCCTAAGAATATTATTGTCAATTCACCTCATCGAAGCATAATATTGTATATTTGCAATTATAAAGATAATGGTTGGTGGAGACATGTTATATGTTTAAAAATAACTAATAAACTAAAAAACATATCAGTTAGACAGAGCAATTACCGCCCACTACTCCACGTCAAGGGTCCTAATATTAGAGACCAACAAACAAAAAAAAAGTGTGAAAAATACTTACCATTTATGGAAAGTCACTTTTGAGGGACCCACTATTAGACTTACTAAAAATGGAATGAGTTGTTTAATCTATATATATATAATTGCTAGCTAAGCAATAAATTTTACCTAATAAATAAAACCTAATAAATTTTACCTATGTGGCAAATCATTAATAAAACCTAATAAAGAAAACTTAATAAATTTTATTTATGTGGCATTAATACACCCAATCTCATTAATAAGAAAATATTTCATTACATTTTTTGGGTTAATTAAGACAAAAACCATTATATTTTATGTTAATTGATTAATAATTATATTTTTTATTGAATAATATAATAGTTAATATTAAAATTAGTAATTATATTTTATACTAAATAATATATGAAAGTTACATAAAATTATATTTTACACTAAAATCAATATTTTTTTATATGATGAAGCAGTTGTTTATTAATACATTAATTTTTTTTTTATGTCATAGTAAAATTTTTTAAAATCACATAAGTAATTGCTATAATAAATGTAATATTTTTCAGCTAATTAATTGGTCATGGTTACTCAAAATTATAAAAAGTATATATTTATTACATTTTATGCAATCAATATAGTGATTCGTATACAATCAAATCGTGTGTACTATTTATTTTAACCAATGATCAAAATTTAAAATATAATAGTATCATATAATTTATAATTTTAATATTATATACATAAATATAACTTATAATACTTATGTTTGAAATATAATACAATTATATAACTTATAATTTTTATATTATATACATAAATATAACTTGTAATATTTAATTTTATTTATATCTGTGCAAATGCACAGAGTCGAATACTAGTTATATAGTAAATAGATTTTCCTCCTCTTCTCGTCAATCTTCTTTTTTATCCCGCAGCCCTCTCAAGTCCGAATCTCTCTCGACCAACAGAAAAAGAAGAGAACTCGCTCGATCTCTCTTCTTTTTTTCAGAACCATCGCCCCTCATCGTTTTCATCCTCATCTCGCCATCTTCTCTCCCTCGCGACCACCATCCCACTCTGCCATGACCGATCCTCTCATCGTCATCCTCGCGTCGCAATCGCCGCCTGCTCTTCTCCCGCGCCGCGAACAGTAATTCCGCCGCGCCGCGACGCGACGCGACGCGACGCCAGCACCGACGCCGCCGTCACCACCGGCGAGCCCTCCTCTCACCACTCGCGCACAGCAGCCCTGCGAAGCTTCCCCCGGCGACCTCTGTTCGCGAATTCCGGCGAGTTTCCCTTCCTCCCGTGAGCCCGTCCTTGCCGTGAACCAGTTCCGTCGCCATCACCACCGCTGCGAGCAGGCCCCGCCTTCCCGATTGCCGCCGATCTCTTCCACGCGCAGACGACCCCCTGCTGCTCCTCTGTGTCGCACAATAGCGTCTCCGGCGAACGACCATCACCTGCAGCGACATCCGACCTGACGACCTGCAACCCTAGCCGCCAGCAGCGGGTCCCGCCCTCTTCGACCACCACGTCGGCTTCTCTTCCGGGCAGCAGCAGCCCCGTCGTCCGGCGGCAGGCAGCCGGCGACTCACAGACAACCGTACCGAAGCTTTGTTCGCACAACACGAGCATCCGCCGTCGAGCCCGAGTACCGTCTCTTTCGATCGTTTCGTATTTTCCGGAGAACGGTACCTAGTCGAACCCCGTCTCGTTGATCGTATATATTATTGATTTTCACGTGTTTATTTGTTATGTGTTTAACGTGATTGATTATGTTAAATCGAGTGCCTGTTGAAATGGTTTGACTATGTCGAGCCTTGTTATGATGTTGTGTGGAAAAAAAATTGGGATTTGATGTGTTTTTCGTGTTTTGAGGACCTCTTCGATTATATGGAATCGAACGAGACCTCGAAACAAGTGTAAGGCTGTGGATTTTGGAACCATGTTGAGTCCTTGGCCTTATGAGAAGGCCTCGGACGAGAATTAATTGTTATGTGTTATGTGCGAAAATTGTCGATTCCGGTAATTGCTGAGTTAGTGTTTGAATTATTAAAAATCGCACACTGCTCGAAACGACTTGAAATTTTAAGAGTGATGTTCACTGTCAATACTAGCTTTGTGTAAAAATTTCGTGATTTTTAGAAGCCTGTAGCTATTTTTAATAATTATAATGAAATCTGATCGGAGTAGTGTTAATTGCATAATAAATTCATTCGTGAACCAAATGAGCTGAAATTCGAGTATGTCATGCCTCTGTGATATTTATATGTTGTGATAAATTTTTAGAATTTTTGTACTTGATTTGATATGGTTAATAAATTTTTTATCGAATCTGCTGAAAAATTGTTTGAATTTTTATAAATCGGTTGTTTGATGAAAAATTCTGAAATTTTACTGAGATGCATATTTTATATGTAGAGTCATGCTGTTTAAAGATGGGAATTTTTGGAATCCATTTTGATTCGGTTTTGATTTAAATTCGATAAACTGCTGAATCTCGTATGAATTTTTAAAAATAGCAGCAGTTAATGTTAAGAGCTGAGATTTTTCAGTGATTAAAATAGCGCGTGGCGAGCCGAGGCGACAAGGCTCGGATTTGTCATGGCGTGAGGCGTGCGGCGAGGCGCCCGCCTTATGAAAGCGAGGCGAGCCATTATACAAAAAATAAAAATATATGTACATGTGACATTTTACCAAATTATGACACAATTATGTATATAAAAATAAATTATAATAGCTAATAAACAAGCAATAAAACACCACACATTAAAATAAAAACAACATCAAGTAAACTACAAATAGAGATATCATAAACCCACATGATCCCAATTAAAATAAACATCAACCCACCCCACAATCCCATATTGTGCCAAATTCCCAATTAAAACAATCATATAATGTCTGTTGTTCATTAAAAACCAAGTTAATGCTCCACATTCATAAATAAACAAAATAAATAATAAAAATAGAAAATAAAAAAACATGTTAAGCCCAACCCACTGTTCGCTTTTCATCCTAGCCGGCCGGCTGCTGTCAGCACCGCCGGCCACCGGCGACAGAAGTTTAGCCGGAGCCGGCGACTTACACACCAAGCACTATCGCCGTGCTGGTGAAAAATAACTGAAGCAAGAAAGGAAAAAAGAAAAAGAAGAAGAAAAGGAAAATTTGGAACACATAACGCTCGCCGTCGCCGTCACCGGTTAGCTGCCGGAATATGGTCGCCGTCGCCGGTGGAACAAAAGGCTCATGGTAATTTTGTAGTTTGGTAAGTAATTTTTGTTAATTGATAAGTATTAATCTCGGGTAAATGAAACCCTAAATTTAAAAATACCTAACTGTCGATCCCTCCCCTCACTTTCATCTTGAAACGGACGGGCAGGCACTAAGTTGAGAATGAGTTCCGCATATCATCTTGAAACGGACGGGCAGACCGAGGTATTGAATCGTTGCCTTGAGACATATTTGCGTTGTTTTAGTTCCGAAAGGCCACGAGAATGGAGTAAGTGGTTGGCTTGGGCTGAGTACTGCTATAATACGGGTTTTCAATCAAGTGTGGGCGGTACTCCATTTGAGGTAGTTTATGGTCGTGCACCTCCTATGCTTCATTGTTTTATACCAGGGGAAGTGAGGACACAATCATTTGCAGAGGATCTTCGGGACAGGGATGAGGTCTTGCGCCATTTGTGTTCCACCTAGAACGTGCTCAACAACGCATGATTCGTGAAGCGAATAAACATCGTAGGGACGTTGAGTTTGCAGTAGGGGATAAAGTGTGTGTGAAATTTCGTCTTTTTCGTAACATGAACACTAAGTTAGCACCTCGATTTTTGGGTTGTTTGAGGTTGAGACTCGTATTGGAGCATTTGCTTATCGGTTGAAACTGCCTGATAACGCAAGGGTGCATCCAGTCTTTCATGTTTCCCTGTTAAAAGCTTCGGTGGGACCGAATTCCGTTGAGCCTACATTTCCGGATGAATTATTGGGAGATGACCCATTATTTATTCCCGAGAAGGTGCTTGCTCGACGAGAGATTGAGCGCAATGGAGAAATGGTTCCACAAGTTGTAATAAAATGGGTGGATCGCGGGGATGATGATGTGGTTTGGCTGGACACTGAGGAAGTACGTGGCCAGTTCCCTAACTTCAGCCTTGGGGACAAGACTGTTTCCGTCTGGGCAGGAGTTGATAGAGACCAATTTCTGAAAGTTTATTCTAGAAGGCCGAAACGGGCTGCGGCTGCTCTTACTGGACCCTTAAGCCTAATTATCCTTATTATTGAGTTAATATAATTAGTTAAGTTAGTGGGCTCTTAAATGGGCTTTAGGGTTTAATTATTAAATATTAGGGTTTAGTATAATATTAGAAGCTAAGAATTAGATGAGCATTCTGGAATATTGACGTTTGTGGCAGGTTATCTTGCCTGAGGACCCTTCGGAGTAGTTCTTTCATTATCTATTGTTGTTATTGCCCTTCACTCTATCATATTTACTTTTGTCAATTTCATAATTGGAGGAAAATCATTGCAAGGAGTTATTATAATTCATTTATCTGTCAACGTGCAGGAGATAATGATAGCGATGAACTGGAAGAAGGCCAATGGGTCCCTGATCACCCTGATTTCTGGAAGAATTTTAGTGAGAAAGTCTTAGCCGAAGGTATGTACTATTTCTTTGTAATATTCTCTAAGCATATAATATTCCCTAATTGTTTTATACAAAATATTTAATCATAGTTAATTATATTAAATCTAAATCATTATTCTTAATCTGAAGCATACCAAAATTGTTTGTATTTGATTCTTAAACTCCTCGGAATATAATTATTTTTAAATCTTTTTGCTTTAGTTATAATATAAACTTAAAGTCCCCATGTGTAATTATTCAATATTAAAGTATAAAGTACAATGTATCACAAGCAATATGTTTTTTTTTATTACACGGTTTCTTCATTCCATAATATATATGTCCACATTTTTTTTAGTTTTTTTTACCTTAATAGTTCTTTTTTAGTTCTGTAGTATTGTATAGAAGTTATTTTTTTCTGTTCACATATTTTTTTTTTCTCTTCGGTTTTAACAATGAAGAAATTTTTTGGTAACCTAATGTTTTAATTTCTCTTTGGTTTTAAAAATGAAGAAATTTTATGGTAACCTAATTTGGTGAAGTGCAGTAATGTGATGTCTTACTGTTGAATTTTTGTGTTCTTGGTTTGTGTGAGATTTCGATAAAAATTGAAACAAAACTTCGGGTCTACGCATAGGAACCCTCTACAGGTGAAATATATGTGGAGATTTGTTACAAATGAGTGATCTTTTATGCAAATATTTTTAATTAAATTTAATTTGGTAGAAACAAATAATTTTCTTTTTTATGCAAATATTTCTAATTAATAAAATAAAATATGAATAATAAATATATTTTACAATATTTTTATATAAATACTATTTAATTCAATACTCGTGTAGTGCTGTACTAGTTCAACTCTAATAAAATACATTTCAAAAGACCATCATAGCCTACACACCTCATATTATACTCTACTACAATACGTTTCAAGTAAAAAGTACTGGAGTCCTAAAAGATTTTATTTGAATAAAGAAATTTAGAATCAGGAGTTGAACTTTCGGAGATTTGAGAATAAAGAACTTTTTACAAAAAAATAGCGACATATGAGAATAAGAAGATGAACTTNATGAATAGCAAAGATTGATTACATTCAATCATAACAAGCCAAATATCATCTCATAACAAGTCAAAATGATTGTATCACCTCATAATAACCCCAAAATGTGATACAATTTCAACCAACTAGAAATTCTTACCAAATTTCAACCGAGTTTGAAACAGGCGCATCACCACAGTCTAAAATGTTCAAACTAAAAAAAAAAGATAACTACTAGCATCAACATGATGACCTTGATTCCATAATAATCAAAACTTGATCCTTGATCATGCAACCACATCAAACCTTAGGAAAGAGAAATAACAACAGAAATAAATTGAGATTATAATAAACATTAGATTATAAAGAAGAAAAGAACTTGTCTCCAATCACCAACTACTCAGAGGTCTATTCACAGGTCCAACTAATTACTGAAAGCAAAAAAAAATAAATAATATAAATTGGATTGAATATTAACTGTGAGTACATCAACATAAATAGAAAAATTAATAAAGGACAACCTTGGAAACAATCGGCTCTTCAGCGGAAGGATGACCGATCCTCTTGCAAGAACTTCAGGACTGTCTTGAACCCACTTACTCACCACCATATCACAACGATTTGGTTGGTTAATTTGGATAGTTTGGTAAGTTTTAAAAACCTTATTTCCTGTGCATAAGGGTTCTCCACTAAAGGTATGTGGCACAATAATTTCTTTAACATAATGGAGACCACGACCAGCAAAAAGATGGACATCACAATCAAATAGAAATGATCTCAGAAATACAGGCAAAGGGGTTACAGTTCCGATCGATAAAGATTTTCAATATGGCTTCAGTTTCATGTACATGATCTTCGAATTAAGGAAACATTGAATATGATCTTTTGAGGCAGGGTGGGCTGATGCAGTATGAACCTATTTGACCATATTCAATGTTTCCTTAATTCGAAGATCATGTACATGAAACTGAAGCCATATTTAAAATCTTTATCAATCGGAACTCTAACCCCTTTGCCTGTATTTCTGAGATCATTTCTATTTGACTGTGACGTCCATCTTTTTGATGCTGGTCGAAGTCTCCATTATGTTCAAGAAATTATTGTGTCACATACCTTTAGTGGAGAACCCTTATGCACTGGAAATAAGGTTTGTAAAACTTACCAAACTATCCAAATTAACCAACCAAATGATACGGTGGTGAGTAAGTGGGTTCAAGCCAGTCCTGAAGTTCTTGCAAGAGGATCGTTCATCCTTCCGCTGAAGAGAAGAGCCGATTGTTCCAAGGTTGTCCTTTATTGATTTTTCTATTTATGTTGATGCATTCACAGTTAATATTCAATCTAATTTATATTAATTTTTTTTTTTTTTTTTGCTTTCAGTAATTAGTTGGACCTATGAATAGACCTCTGAGTAGTTAATGATTGGAGACAAGTTCTTTTCTTCTTTATGATCTAATGTTTATTATAATTATAATCTCAATTTATTTCTGTTGTTATTTCTCTTTCCTAAGGTTTGAAGTGGTTGCAGGATCAAGTTTTGATTATTATGGAATCAAGGTCATCATGTTGATGCTAGTAGTTATCTTTTTTTTTTTAGTTTGAACATTTTAGACTGTGGTGATGCGTTCAAATTTGTTTCCCTGTTTCAAACTCGGTTGAAATTTGGTAAGAAATTCTAGTTGGTTGAAATTCTAAGCAAATGTAGCCCTTGAAAAGAATAATACAGATTTGCTAAGCCAATTTTTATGTGTAATATTTGACGCTAAATTTATATTTGTATTTTCCAAACTCTTTGACATACTCATAATTTAAAATAAAGAAGGAAAAAAGGCACTCCATTAACTCTTTTTATGTATGCCCTTCACACAGGTCGGATATACAGATTGAGGACTCCCAGCTTGAAATATTTGGCTTCTTTAATGGCTTGTGAAGCTTCTAACCCAACTAAAGATTGGAGCTTTCCCCAATTATCCTTGAAAGATCATACACAGAAGTTATCCGATTCTCAAAACTTGGAAGGTCTTGCTGCTCAGAAGGATAAATCTTCATCTTCAGTAAAGCTGGTCCAGTCCAAGAAAGTGAGTAACTAAATAAGCTATAGCTGAATTTTTTTACATTCCGATGTTATTTCTTGTCCGTTCAGAGTGGAAAACAGAAAATATGATTATTAGGAAAAAATTAAATTGGTGAAATTAGGTCCTGATAGTGTGGGATTCGAGGGATAGAAGTTTATGGCTTTCGACCAAGTGTTTTCTTGATTTAAGTGTTCAACCATCCCAAAAAAAAGAAAAAACAAAAAAACAAAAGAACATCTAAGAAAATGTAAATGAGAGTAACATTATGGTTTTTCTTGGCAAGAAAAAAAAAACTAAGAAAATGAGTTAATATTTTTTCCCTGACATAAAATAACACAATGGTTTTATTATAACTGTTGGGATAAAATAACTGCTTCCTGTCTGAACTCAATGGTTTTATTATTATTATGATTCCATATTCAGGATCATATATATCGAGATAGAGCTGCCGAGAGAAGAGCTCTGCATGGTGGATTTGGCGTGGGCCCTGGACAGAAGAACTCAACCGAAGCTTCTGATTCTGCCTCGTCATATTCTGCTTCACAACGTGATGTGGCGGAAGCTGAGGCATTGAACTTCTCATTCGGGACAGGAAGTTACGCCAGGAAGATTCTAGAAGGCATGGGATGGAAGGAGATATACATTTTTAAGATGACAAAATCACGATTCCTTATGGTGTGTGGCCAAACATGGTACTAGGAATTAAGGTATTGATGGTGTTCATGCAAAGTCGGTCAAAACCGGATTTTGTGGGTTGGTATATTTTCCGTATGATTTTGTAAACGTTTTTTTTTTTTAAAAAAAAAATACAAGAAGGAGGCTCTTGGCTCGAGCGTGAAGGGACTGGAAACAAAGGAACTGCCGGTTTAGGCTTTTTGCTAATGGCCGCAGAAAGTAATTGTAGTTAAAGGGTCAAGTTTCACTTGTATACATGAAAACTGCTCTGACATGAAAATATAGTAGTAATAGATTATCATTAAAGGGNCCCAGAATAAACTACAATGCAAACAAATTTTTACAGAGGAAAGGAGACTGGAACCTTGATCAAGTGTAATAATTAAAGGTAGTAGCTCTAAAATTGCCAATTAAACAAAATAATTTTCCCCAAAGAACAAAAAAGGAAGAAAATAAAAGAGAGAGAAGAAAAAAGAAATATGGAAAAAATGAAAATGAAGTTCTAAATGCAAAACAGTCCCACAACTAATTTTCAGTTTGCACTTCAACAGGATTCAGTCCATTATCATCATTAGCATTCATATCAGTATCTAACTCATTTTGCTCCTCTCCCATGGCATTCCCTCGAAGCTTGTTTTTCAATCTCTGGATTTCATCTTCCTTTGCTTCTAGTTTCTCTTGCAAGATAACCACCTGACAAGATTCAATCGTTTTCTCATTTTCATCATGTGAGAGAGAGAGAGACAGAGAGAGAGAGGCAGGGATATACCAACTCATTTGATCTATCAACATCGCCCGTCAGTTTCTCCATTTGTTTGCATATTCCTGCGGAAAACGATAGGAAAAGGTAGATAAGAAGATAAACTTATTGAAAAATGCTACTTGTACATAATATTTTTTGACATGGAGTTGGCATTATATGAATAAATCTCTAACAAGAACAATTTGAAAGAAACCCATAAAATAGTACCTTCCAATTGGCTCCTGAGCTCAGTGTTTTGAGATTTTTGTGAAGCAAGTTTCATTGCCAGCTCATGCATCTACAGGGAAAAGGGAAACAAAATATATTAAAGACTAATTTATTGTTTTATACTACGATATCCAATTTTCAAACAAAATACATATGTGAAAACAAGCTGATGGTTCAAAATCTACCGTTAGTATCATAAGTGATAATATATTATAAAATGAAAAACAAAAAGCAGATGACAAAAGATATGTATTGACAAGATATTGTACCTTTCCTTCATTGGCTTGATTACCAATTTCCTCATTCTCTTCCTGCAGCGTCCTGCATTTTGCCATTAACATCTTTCCCATCTTACTTTGTGGGGTAAAACTGACGGCAGCTATATTATCTTGCAGCTCTTTAACTTTCTTATCCTTCTCTTCCACCAAATTCTGGAAATATTAATAAATCAGGCAAAAATCGGCTTATGGAGAGACCTTTTCAATTAATCTCTTGTAGGCAGTAAGTAAATTCAATAAACCAAGCACACAGTTACAATACACTTTATGTTCACAGCTTATCAAGAACATGCATCATTGGATTGGTAAAAGTAAAACATAATGCCGACAAGTAAAATTCATTCTGCAATAATGTAACTTAAATTGTATTTAATAACAAAACAAATGGGTCACCTTTAATCTTGTGAACTCTTCATGGATAGCTGGATCTAGCAACAGTCTCCTCGCCTGTCAAGTTGATATCGTCACATTAAACAAATGCAAGAAAAAATAAATAAATAAAAGGTCGAGATGATAAATTAGCAGAGGCGACGAGCGAATTTGACAATAAAATAATCTTTTTCTAAATATAAAAAGTAAAAAAGGCGTAAAGGCTGGCATAAGTTTCTACCTGCATTGATGGTGGCTTTAACTGAGTTCTCAAATCTCGAAGAGCAGACTGCAAGAAAGTTGGTAGAAGACGAAAATAAAACATACATGAACTAAAAAGAAAATAAACTTTGTGCATAGCCAACAAACAGACACACAAACTAGAATTTAGTTCTCTCGAAAAAAATGAGAGAACTAGCCTTTAGCAATGCATCAGAAGCCACGAAAACCTGATTACATATCCAAGATACATGTAACGAAAATAATGATGCACCAACTCAACACAGTCCCCTAGACCTATTACAAACTTCTAGCAAAATTTCATTTCACCTTAATAACTGCCTTATCTTCTTCAGAATATTGTAAAACAGGTGACAGAACAAAGCGAAATGCATGCATGTTTGTGTTGATGATGCAATGGCACAATTATTCTGACCTTCAACTCAGCAATCTCCTGCTCCCGTTTGGCAAATGTCACAATGAAAACCGCTTCTTTTTTCTTTGCTTTCTCAAGCTGATACCAGTAAATAAATAAACAGATATACGTATAATTAAAAAATAAACAAATACTGAATAGACAATGACAGTTAAGATTTAAAGGTTCCAATAGACATACTTGCTCACGGAGGGACTCCTCAGAAGACCTCAGAGTCTGGAGATAGTTGACTACGAATTTTGGTTCTAACAAATTCCCAAACAAAAGGAATTATAAATGATCCAGAAAAGTGAGGTTAACTCCTATTCATGAAATTGTAGGCAGAGAAAGGGTTAATACACACTCAAAACTAACCGGGAGTTGCGCCTTGGGGAATGAAGGATTCATTCTGGAAAGCAAAATGCCACTTCTGAATCTCAGACTTAGCATCTTCAAGTTTCGTCTATAGAGAGAAAACCAAGATTGCCATTTAAAGTAATTGATTTCGCCATTGAACAAGCATGTGTAATTGGGAAAAAAAATACACAAATTATGCAAGAAAATTTTATATGACTACCGAGTTTCTTTTTTACTTAAACTGCGATTTCAGCTGAAAAATGAAGATGCAAATAGTGCATGACAACAGAAAAGGAAATGGAAAGCTGTAGACATAGAAATAAAATGTTAAGAACATTGATAAAACTGGAAATGCTACCTGGCATCTTGAGAGTTCATCTTGACAGTTCTTGAGGCTACAAAAAGGAAAAGAAAAAAAAACCAGCCAATAACTTTCAGAACATCAGTCGGTAAAATACTCAAAACTAGCTTGGAAATGATCTTTTCCTTGTTTCCCATTTTTCTGGGTGGGAGACAAAAGGATGAGCAATTAGTGTGGATGAATATATTGAAAAATGTGTTTTGTGCATTGGAAGAAAAACAAAGATAGCTACAGACGACTTTGTAAATTGAGTAATCAGCTACAGACAAATAAACGCAATTCGGCTAGTTACATTTATAAGCACTTTGTACTAAACTGATCTATCCATGAAAGAGAAAATGCCAAATTTAAGGGAGGATACCTCTCACGAAGAGATAAGATCATCCCAGTTGCCACTCCTGGTGCAGTCTCCTCTATTTTCTGGTTAACCTTGAATGTAAAAACAAACAGGGTTAAACTTGAACCTTACAATAACAACAACATACCCAGTATATTCCCAACAGGTTGGGGTCTGGGGGGTCAGTTGTACGCAGACCTTACCCTTGTAATTATACAAGGAGGTTGTTTCCGTAGCGACCCAAAGTGCATTGCGCCGTTTGATATATATACATATTTTTTTTTTCTAGAAACTTCTATTACTAATAGAAGAAACACTAGAATTTAATTGAGCCATTTTGATCTAGTCCATTATTAGCACTATGCCAGGAGAATTGTCAACAATGACTCTTCCAGCTCCATTTGCAATGGACAAGAGGGTTAAACTTGAACCTTATAAGAACCATATTGCCAGCAGAAGGAAAAATTTAATGATTTATGGAAGCCCAAATATTCAGCGTTGCACATGTTTAATTCAATCTGTTTCAACAATTTTGCCATCAGAGGGCCGCTCATGAACAACTTCAGGACATCAATCTGACAGTAAACTACAAAAGTAACAAACAAGAAGCTGTGAAAATTATAAGCCAAGGATTATGGGCTCAATTTCTGTCTTCCAATGACATATTTCAAGTGGAAAACTAATTCAGCTCTCAACTGGACTGCCTTAAAGTTGTTGGAAATCCTTTAAAATTTGGTGAACAAGCTAAGAGGTAAGACAAAAATTTGAGTTCCCCTCCTGCATTCACAAGCAGTTCTGATATTTCATATTCATTTGCTCAACATTCAAACACAACCCCAGCCGAAAGAATCAAACTTTAGAACATCGGTATAAATAGTCTTTACTACAAATTATAACTTACAATGAAGAAAACAGACACCCACAGAAACACAGCAGAACAAATAAAACTGAGAAAAAAAATGATATTTTTACACTTCCAAAGCAGGAGCAGAAGCAAAAGAAACCTTCTTTGACCCAAAGATATCATCTTCATCATCATCAAGGTCAGCGAAGCTTCTCTTATTGCCTGGTAACCAGAATCATATTCTCATAAACAACAAATAGCATAAAACAAAGATAGCTACAAACAATATTTAACTCAAATAAATTAATTAGTTTGGAGAACCTGAACGCCTTGAAGCACTTCCTCCTGCAAAATCACCTCCAAAATCATCTTCCTGCCAAAGTTTCAAGCCCAAAAAGAAGAACAGAACAAATTAAACTAGAAATGAAGATAACGAACAAAATACATATAATTCAATGGAAGTGCAACCAAAATAGCGCGCTAGAGTAGAGGGAACTCACGACATCAAGGTGGTCGTCTGACGCCATTGAAATGCGATGTCGAATTGGGGACTGAATTCTGAAACCTTAACTCGCCGAGATCGCGAAGGTGCAGGATTGGGAGCGTGGGGCGAGTTGCACGGGAACAACGCCGAGTTCAGGTTCCGAATTAAGGGTGCGTTTGGCAGATATGTTTCTGAACCCTTTTATTTCTCCAAACCATATCGTTTGCTAATTGAGATAGGATAAGACTAATTGTGTTAAACGATATGAGTTACTCCATTTTTTAGCTCAATTCTATTCCGCTCGTTAATAGTTGAATTCGAACTTATTCAAAATTAATTTAGTTAACAAGTTAAAAATTCGGCTCGTTACAATTTGATGATTTATCAATATTTATAAATCAACTCGTTGCATTAATGCGTTGAGGTCAACACACTTTGATAAAAACACGAGCTCCAACCATTTACATCTTTATATGTTTATGCACATGAGACCAATGTTACCATATGAGGCTATATTGGCCACGGTTCGGTCAAACCATCGGTCTAGTTCGAATCGCTGACCACGGGTCTTGAACCGGTCTGTGAATTTATTTGGAGCGGTTCAGGTTCATGTTGTTTAAAAAATTGAACCGTCGATTTCAGTTTTCGATACGTTGCCAAAATTCTATTTAAAAATGAACTTTTCTTTTATTTTTTTGATTCATTATTATTTTTTTATTTCCCGATTTAGGGCCGAACCAGTTTTGAACTGCCAGTGAAGTCCATTGAACTGCCCCATAGTCTTTCACAGGGATTCCGATTCACAGAAAATGATGAATTTGAACCCCCGGTTTCAACGCGAATCTGTCCAGAATCGAGTTTTGGCCACGTCTATATGAGGCTCGCTCCTATCATGTGCTAAAATTGTTGGTTCTTAATTTCTATCATCTTTTATTTTTTTTAATAGAACGATAAATTTTATAAGCCTCAAAAGAGAGAATTTACAATGAAGACTTGAGGGCTAACTAGTCCTTATAAAAACACGAAGGGAGTAGAATCAAGAGAAATGCTAACCGAAGCACCACATACAAACAAAAACACTGGAATTTGGTCCAGTCAATCGGCAATGACAAATCTTAATTTCTATCATCTAAACTCAAATCTTAATTTCTATAATCTAAACTATAAATGATTTTGATCAAGTCAAAATCATGTTTACCAATTTAGAGAAAGAAGAAATGGGTTGGCCCATCTTGTGCTCATGGCCCATTGCATAAAACTTGGGCTGACCCCATCAGGTATATTGATAAAACATTTCATCTATTTAAGAGGGTGTATTTATTTAATTTTAAAAAAAAAAAATTATAATAATTTAATTTTAGTGAACTCCTTATTGATAATAATATAATTTTTCTATTGATAGACGATATAACAAATTAGAAAATATTTTCAATTGCAGCCATAATAATCTTATGAACACTACTTAGGATGAAACTATAAATCCATATTGGTTTGTTAATCTTTATGATGTTTTAAATCTCTTAATCATGTATGAATTCTCACTAATTGTGAAACTCGATGAATTTGAGAGGATACCCACAGCAAGCTCTTTGCTAGTTCCGCCTCATAAGTGTCTTATTGTATTTGAAATTATATATTGATCTTATTGTACCCAAAAAGAAAAAGAAAAATATATATTGATCTTGTACATCAAATAACAAAATCATCTCAAACTAGTAAATTTTTTAATTGGAGGGGAAATATTATTTTATATCAATAAGTTGAGAACTCTACTTCACTAATGAAATGCCTAGTTGAGATAAAAAAAAATATATATCAAATAAAAAATCGGAAAAAAAAAAAATGTTGACCAAACTGGTGGTATGTTCTCCATTTAGCATACCCTATCTATGATTCTATATATAGAGCTCTACATGTATAAAATCTTCCCCTATAAAATCTACTTTTCAGTATAATTCCTTTGGCCTCGGCACTTGAATTTATTTTATCACAACTTTTTCCCTAATTTTGTATTTGAAAAATTGCAGTTTTTTTTTTCCTGTTTGGTGAGATACTGTTGAAGATGATGACAAAAAACCTTTAATCCAAAAACCAAATCACCGTCACCAAACGGGGCCTAAAGAAGCAATATTCAAATGCACAACTTGGTTAAAACTTTCAAACTTTGCAGCTAATATTTAATTTAATGTTTACAAGGTGGGCATGATTAAGTTAATTGGCCAAACATTGCTACTAATTGATTCTTTGAATTTGGGTCGTCCCATTATGAGACGTATTCTATAATCCAGTCTAGACGACACAAATAAAGTTGTTCTTGCTTTATGATTTTGACTTTGTAGATATTGTTATAAAGTTGAGGATAATGGATATAAAATGAGGGTCCTAATTTTATTTGATAGTGATTAAGGATTTGTAGTTTGTTAAGGAAATGTGATGATTAATTAATAACATTATTTAAATTTGTCAAACAAAACGAGCTGCTCTTAATTCCACTCGGTTCGTTTGATATAAGCACTCAGCTTAATTTCATCCAAAACTTGTTAGACACTCGAAAATATGAATTTCTACATAAATATTATTTCCTATAGTTTGACTCGCTGAAAATTAAGTTCGGCTCGTTATATTACACTACAAGAAAATGATAAAATTTCAACGAAAATATATTCCAATAGAATTCCAACGACAATTCCAATGAATATTTCAATGTTATTATTTCTGTTGGAATAATTCCAACGAAAATTCCAACAAAAATATTTCGTTGGAATGAGTTTTCCATTGAAATTTCCGTTGGATTTTAACGATTTCAACGGTAGATTTTTCAACGGTGGTGGAAATAAAAATTCTAACGAAAATTATATATTCCAACGGCCAAAAGCCGTTGAAAATATAGTCGTTAGAATCATCAAATTTCATCTAAAATTCCAATGAAAAATACAATCCAGTGGAATATTTTCGTTGGAACTTCCGTTGGAATCATTCCAACGGAAGTTATACCATTAGAATATTTGTTGGAATTTCCATTGGAATATATTACCATAGAATTTTTCGTTGGAATATAACAATTTTTTTGTAGTGTTATTAATATACGAGTCGAGCTCAAGTCTTTTTATTATAAGGTTGTTTAGTTAACGAGTCGAGCCGAACTCAGACATTAAAGGCTCGGACTTTTGATATTCGACTCGACCTATTTACGCCTCGAATAACACTCATGTTCAATTAAGAGAGTATTCACTCGTTTTTATTAGCAAGTATGGTACAATATTAGATAAATAGAATGATATCCTCTATTAGACACAAAATGATATGATTAGGATGTGGTTGCATGATATATCATATACAAATGGAAAAAAGTTGGATNGATAATTGAAGGCTAAATTTAGTTCTTTTTTTCGTGTGGCGGTATATTTAATGAAATCAGCCGAACTCGAAATCGGCTATCCATATCTACAAACCTTAACAGCCTCAATTAATGAGTCAGAGCAACAAAAAATTATATAAAAATATCTATTTTTTTATCTTTATCGAACAAACTAAATTCTACAAGCTCGAACTAACTCGTTTATCAAATGTGCCTAGTCGAACTGAGACCACAAGCAATTTTTTCGCATAACTAACTCTAATAAAAGTTAAACTCAAAGCCTTTTTGAAGTAATGAAAGATTACTTGACAGTAGCATCACTCGTGTAAGGTCTAATCACATAGTTTATCATAATTTGGCAGTTAAATCACAGAAATTCACTGAATCAATTGTTAATAAAGTTATTATTTTTTTCAACTAAGCAAATCAGCAAAAGTTTGTAACAAGACTTCCGTGATTAGCTCTGGTTATGATTAAAACCACACACACACACTATACAGGTGGGTCTGTGTGTGTTATTTGAATTTTGACATGCCAATTGCCACCCCACGGATCATCGATCGTCACTAGCTAGCACGTGAGGCTAACACTCATTGGATTGAGTTCAACATTTTCGTTTTTCTATTTACTTTATTTAGTAAAGAATTAAAATGGATTTTATGTGTTTAGACTTTAGAGTGTTATCCAACCTAGACGAGCCGATTAGCTCCCGTTCGAGTTCATGCTCGTTTAATAAACGAATCGGTTTGAGCTCGGCTCATTAAAGTTCACGAACGTTAAATTTAATAAACTTAAAATTTTTAATGAATTATTCGTGAACAAGCTCAATTTGATTAATTCATTTACAACTCTCATAGAAAATAGATATAAACGACGCATTTAGTAGACGAGGTTAGTTATCCACTTGAGTATGGCTCGTTCGTTTACTTAAATGAGCAAAACTCGGGTTTTTTACATCTCGAATCGCGCTGAACGTCAGGTTTTTAGATATAAGTGAAACAATTTGCTCGTCAGAGTTTATACATTGGGATCCTTTCTCAATGCTTTGCAGGTCTCGAAAGCCGGTTACGCAACATAATTATTAAATTCTATGAATTTAATTATTGATAAAATAAACTAATAAACCTAGTATATGTATCAAACAAATAAATTATAAAGTATTTGTATATATGGATAGATTGAGGACAAGTGTAGGAGAGTTTAATACATGGGCAAAAAAATGTTGCATTTTGTTAGGTGATTGAGTTTTTTTTTTCTAAACATTTTTGGAATTACATCAATTCAGGCATGAAAATAATGTCATCAGTGGAGGCCATATAAATCAAAAGGCCATTCATAGGCTGGCTAACCTACTAATTTGGGGGTACATTCACTTTTTTCCGTTCTTAATTAAGTGCAGTAAAATTTTGTTGTGCTAAAGCTAAACTAATATATTTTTCATTAATTGGATTTGGTCCTAAATTGAATAATTCACTTTTCCTTACCTCATTAAGCCATTCGAAATATTATAAAGTAGTCACTTTTCTAGTAATAGTTTTGGGCATAATTACTAATAACTTTAGTTTTAGAAAATCTTACTAAATTAATTAGTTGTAATAGGAAGTGTGCGTTTGATGATCTAACTGAAAAACTAACTGATAGCTTATAAATTAGTTGATGTATCGAGTTTATAGCATAATAATTTTTTCTGAAAAAATTAGTTGATAAATCACCTGAAGTAAAATTAGAAGGGACATTTTTTTTTTTTTTTTTTTNAAGAATTCAAATATTCAATATCTCAAAATAAACGAAAAAAAAACATGTATAATTATTCATAGAAAATGATACGAACAAATCAACCATCTACTAACATAAATACTAAATTTTTGACAGTAATGTAAAAGCAAATT